ACGATAAATTGGCTGAAGTAAAGAGTAACTTATGTAGCGAATTTGAAATGACAGTCCTGGGAGAACCCAAGGAATTCTTGAGCATGACTATTAGGCGGGACAGAGAAAATCAGATTATCAAATTAAATCAGGAAAATTATATTCAAAAGATATTAAGTAGGTTTGACTTTGATAAAGCATATCCACAACGTACACCAATGAATACTTCTCAAGTAGCTAATAATGAGAGAAAATTAAGAGAAACAGAATATGATAATGGGACTTTGGAAAGGACAGTAGGTAGTAGGTAGTACGTAGTAGGTAGTCTTTTGTATTTGGCTGGTGCTACGAGACCAGACATTGCATATGCAGTCAATGTAATAAGAAGACATCAAGTAAATCCTAAAGAAAGTGATTGGGGAATGGTAAAAAGAATTTTTCGGTATCTGAGAGGTACTACGGGCTTAGGTCTGAGATATTCAGGCGAGACCAATGACATTCAGGGTTATTCTGATGCGAGTTTTTCTGATTGTAAAGATTCAATCACAACTTGTGGATTTGTGATTAGACTGTTTGGTGATTCGATCATTGGGCGAACTCACAAACAAATTACAGTAGCACTTTCTACGTGTGAAGCTGAGTATGTTGCAATGAGCGAGGCGAGTCGAGAAATGATGTCGTTGCACAACTCATTAAAACTGATACTGGTTGATCCCCCTGTTCCAATGATCTTAAGGTGTGATAATAAATCTGCTATTATGAGTGCAGAAACAAATGGAGGAATGAAATTAAGACACACTGTAGAGAACAAATTACATTATGTAAAGGAATGTGTTAAAAGGAATTATATAAAAATCATTTGGATTGGTTCAAGGGATCAGCTAGCTGATGTTTTCACCAAACCATTGACGTTTGAAACACACAAGCGTTTGATGGACCTAATAATGAAAGTAAATATTTAAATTATTTTCTTTCTGTTTGTCTAGGAAATAACTGAATTGGCGAGACCTTTCTTGGAGAGATAAAACTGACGAGATGGAAAAACTAATGAGATTAAACTGACGAAATTACCTGGCGAGAATACTCAGGCGAGATGAAGTTACCAAATAAGAAACTTTGTGATAAACGAGAACAGATTATTAGGAGAGAAAAAGACTGGAGAGGAATCAAGGATACTGTCTATGGCGGGAGGGAGTGTTGAAAGTGGCGCCCTACGCCAGTCTCCTTTTACCGACAGTGTGGCTGACTGTGTCGCCAGGGCGCCGTGGTGCCTCTCGTAGATATACTAGTACTATGCATCACTTGTGCCTCGACCGTTGTCGCATTACGTTGCTGAATAAAGCTTAATTACTTTTACGATAATAAAACTGTGTTTAATCGTTATTTCAATCCTAAATAACCCTTCAAATCCCTATATGAACGTTATATGACCCATATGATCTCCGTATGATCCCCACATGACCGTAAATTTTATAGGAAATCCTATAAGGAATCATAGGAAATCCTATCTAAAAAATTCCATAGGAATCTATGAATGAAATAAGGTCTTTGCAATCATCGTAATCAACCCCATTTCAGGATCATTATCAATGTTTATTCCTATATGTACAATTCCAGCCATGCATTGACAGCAATAAAAAACCTGAAACGATCCAAATGTTGCTTTTAATCCAATGAAAATTCTCCATTAACTCCCGGCTCCATTATCTTCCGACTGTTATCTAAATTGATTTTTTTGTTCGATTTTTATCTCAGGAACACCCAAAAATTTTGAATTTACGTTTTAAAAAAAGTTGAAAAAATTCTGAACATTTTAAATTAATATTGAGGAATGATTTCAATACAGGAGATATGAAGGATATCTACTTATCGTGGCAAATGGCGGCCTATCAGTCGCCGCCGTGGGAGAGGAAAGACGAAATAATAAATCCTTTGGCACACCGCAACAAGACGATTGTACGAAAAAAGGGCTCGGGGGGAACGGAGTGGACAAGGAACAGAGAGGTAGTGGTTTTTGTAGGCTCTGGAAAAGTGGTAGGAAAGAGTGGTTTTTAAGAGTAAGGAAAAGGAAAAGCATGAAGAGGGCAAAGAAGGAAGGGCTTTGGAAAGGAATGAGGGTTAAATGGAGGGGTAAAGTGGTCAATTCAGGTAATTAGGAGGAAAGGAAAGTGATGGAGAGGTTAGGTCGGCAGACGAGAACGAGGCGGCAGGGGAGCGTTTCCAGAACATGTTAGGAATAGGTGGAATTGGAATAGGGAATAAGCAAAGGAAGTGGCAAGGTCACGGAGAAGAGCGTGCGAGCGACAGCGAACATAAATAAGAAAAGTAGCGGTGACACACGTGGCCAGTGCAGAAAAGTGAGGTTAGACGGAAGGATGATGGAGGAACATTGGTATAAGTGGGTGAAAGACGATCAAGAATGGAAAGAAAGTGTACTGGAAAAGCTGAAGGGGATCGGCGGGGTGATGAAGAAACTGCTGGTGATGAAGAGAGAGACACGAGAAGGGGGGAAAACGGAAACTCATGTGGTCGCGGCAAAGGCAGGTAAAGGAGAGAGTGAGATGAACAAGGGGCAGAAGGAGGACGGAGAGACAACAAAGGCCGCAGGCTTAGAGGAGTGGGAGAAACGCAAGATGGATTTGGAACAAGCGAGTCAGAAAAGAACCGTAATGAGGGGGATAAAGGAGGAAGGATGGAACGCAAAGAAAGAGGTGAGAAGTTTTGAATTTTTTGGTTTCTAGAGAAGGAGGTGGACATTGTCAAGATGGAGGAGAAAAAAATGTCGCAAGGAGATGGGCCCATGATTGCGGAGCTGGCAGAGAAAAAGGATTGTCAGCAGGTGGTGCAAGGGAAGGAAAAAATTGAAGAAGTGTTTGGGATCTGGATTGACGAAGATCTGTCGTTTGAGGTTAGAAGGTCGAAGTGGAAAATGAAGGAAAGAGCGAGGGAGGAGAGGAGGATGGGACGATGCATGGTAGAGGAGAGAGATAAGCTTGGTGTAGACGGGTTTTGGTAGAAATTTTTGGAAAACAGATGGGTGAGGCAGAGAAGTGAAGAAAGAGACAAGGAAGGGGATAGGAAAGAAGAGGACAAAGATGGGACCACGGATATAGTAAAGGATGGGTCTGTTCAGAACGACGGAGAGAATGGAGAATAAGGAAAAAGAGGGGGAGAAGGGCAGCAGAAAATAGTGTGGAGAGAAGGAGAGAAGAGGAGAGGCCTCGAGGAAGTCGCTGGACCGCTCACAGTGGTGGGGTGGAACGAGTAGATCCCATCGCAGTGGGAGGAAAGCCGACGAACTCAGAGGAAAGGGGAGAGGCCTATCTTCCTGGGCAGACCACCGGAGGAAGGGAGAGCAGCAGCCCGGACCACGGCGGAGTGAGGGAGAGGACATAGGCGGATGGAGTATAGTGGAAGTGTGAGGGGCTCGATGGGGTTCGGACTGTTGTTTTGGTGCTTATTTGAGTTTTTAGTCTTATTTTGCTTCATTCTTTTCTCTTGTTTTGGTTTTTTGGCTTTTTTGTAGGGTCTCTAGTGGGATAGAGGAGGAACGGTGAGTAGACGAAGGAGTGTATATAGAAGGGGAGATGAATTATAGGTTAAGATGGAAATATGACTATAGGAAATATGAGTATTGGAAGAAAAAATGGAAAATTGGGAAATTGTGACTCTGTACCTCTTGTTATATAAAGTCCGTAAAAGGAGAATAAAATACTACTACTACTACTACTATTACTACTACTAAAAAAAAGGGCTCTTTGAAAAATTTGTAATATTTTTAAGAATATTTTGATCACACCTTTACGATGAATTACTAATCACTTACGCCAATCTTCTCCATTGATAATTGTACTGGCGATCAGTCGTCACTTTTGTCGGGAATGGAAAACAGGAAAATCGCTTTTTCTTCCTTTTTTTGTGCCCCCAGCAAAAATAAAAGTTGATGGACAGTACAATTTTCAATTCAGGAGTTGGGCCAAGTGATTTGTAGTTCATTATAAAAGTGTGATAAAAAATCTCTTGAAAATATTACAACATTTTTCAAAAAATCTTTTTTCGTACAATCGTCTGGTTGCGCTATGCCAAAGAATTTATTATGGGTGCGGTTCACAATCGAGGTAGTCGCGGTAACAGCACTGTAACCCTATCCAATTTTGCTTGACTGCAGCTACGGTAGTTGATTCCGAAACTCAATCGATTTCGTCTTTCCTCCCCCCCCCTGGGAGGCGACTGACAGGGCGCCATTTTGCTATGGTAATTATACATTATTCATATCTTCTCCACTGAACTCATTCCTCAATATCAATTAAAAACGGTCTTTCAAAATGTTCAGAATTTTTTTTACTTTTTCATCCATCGAAATTCATTATTTTCGGGGGTCTATGAGTGACGGGTCGAAATTTCTAGATAAAAATCGAATGAAAAAAGCACTAGATCACGTTCGGCAGATAATGGAGCCGGGCGTTAATACAACTGTTCTTCTTCTATATGCGAAATAATTCATTAACAATTGTGCGAAGTGAGCTCACAATCGTTGTGTACTTTCCCGTAGTGAGCATAACAAAAACGTTATCTGACGGTTACACAATTCTTATTGTTAAAGGCAAATTTTGAGTTTTGTCAATAACATTCTATAAATTTTAGCATGATGAAACAAGGGAGGTGCAGTGGAAATGTCACGATGATTTCATGTAAATATGGCAGTTGGAGTGCATCAATATTACAATAAGTGAAATTGTTACACTTACTCCGAATGTTTGATTGAGGTCTTTTTTAACTATAAATTTGGAATGCAAAATACAAAATTTTTCTCTCGGTTTACTGTGCCGGAATTGACGTTCGAACCGAAAAGGAGGACCGACTAACATGAGAAAAAAAATCCTATCGCAATGGTTCGAGACAATGGTTTCGCATTCATATTCAAGTACTTGAATCTGGAAAATATACTATACTAATTCCAAGACGAATCGTGGGAAACATTGTAGAAGAAAAATGTACGCTTTACGACTATTACCACTTACTGCAATTTCCCTGTAGACACAGATACTTCTCTGTGTGTCTCCTCGATCGAAATGATTCTTCTCCGTATGTCTCTCTAATTCTTGAAGTATTGCACCGTATTTCTCTAGCCTCCTGAACGGTTTACTGAGCCCAGTGGTTAATACAAGAATTCCTGGAGTGACTGCACCACTTCGCTCCATAAAATCATTCAATTCATCTCTATATCGATCCATGATGCAGACTGCATAGGGGTGGCCGTTGCAATACCGCAAATGAACTGATTGTAGTTTTGAAGCCAAGGTAAGAAATACACTTCCAACTCTGGCTTCAGCTCCCTGTGTTACTGTTGCCTCCAGGTTTGCCAGTAAACGTTGGTGAATCTCTACAACCTCGCGGATGTTACCTATTAGTTGTTTGTATTCCTCTTTTGTCAATCTGAAAAATTCCAATTGGAAATAATATTTATACTCATAATACTGATTACAAGCTATTTGAGAGGAGATGGAACACTAGCTTACAAATTAATTGATTCCAACGGTTGAAGAAAATTATTGACAATCCCCTGGATTTCTGCGACATTAGCTCTCTCTGAATCCACTAAATCTTTCAGTACTATGTCCCTATTCACTCGTGAATGAATGCTTGGGAACTCTTGGCTCGATTTCTCGGACGATGACTTCACAGAATGTCCAGCATCTACATGAATATCAAAATGAATTAAAACAACTAATCTAGTAATAAATTGTTGAATTTTAGGAAATATTTTGCAATGGCACCCGGTCGATAAATGTCCATGCGGGCCAGGATCTGCCATGATTTCCCTTGGTTGCATGAACCAAGTATACCTTGAGTAGATATGGCAGTAGTTAAGCTAGGCGGGTTCTGTATCAAAGGTCATCGCCGCCACTAGGTGGCTGGAAGGATGACATCATCGATGAGTCATAGGGATGACGTCATCGATGAGTCATGGTAGATAACTTATTAATAGCCTATGATATTATCATTATGATTATATCATAACTGAAGACGAAAATACGAGTCATCGATAATCTCAACATATCTAGAAGATTCATGATCAAGTACACCCTCATGATCCTGGCAGTTGCACCGTCGCGGATGATTCTAGAGAGATAACGCCATCGATGAGTTATGGTGGATCACGACATAGTTGCAGATCAAACCTAGCGACCACTAGGTGGCAGTACGATCGCAGAAGGTTCTCGAGGATTCTGGAAAGTATTTCGCCCAACCACCAGGTGGCGCCAGTCACGAAACTTTCGAGACGGATGACGTTATCGGTAAGTCACTCGGACCTTTGGATAATGATTCATCAATTCGCGTGGAGGGGTATTTGGTAAGTCCTTTGGAGACTTATACAAAGAATGTTCTGAAAGGATGACGTCATCTAGAACCTTCTAGAGCCAAATGACAGCACGGTCGCGAGAAGGATAACGTTATCTAGAACATTCGAGAGATGACTCTTCGTTCTGCGAGGTGGAGGTGGAGTGGGGTACTCCAAAAGTCCTATCAAGACTTGCCGTAATGGGATATCATTAAATAATCGGAAAAGGGCTGTAAAATCTATTTGGGGGATGACGTCATCGGTGAATCAGTTGGGCTGATGATTCATCGATTCGCGATTGGGGCTAACTCGTAAGTCCTATTGAGACTTGTTCGAAACATGATACTATGAAAGAAGGTACCACATTAATCTCGATTGTTCTAGAATATTCTCTAAAATTCTCAAATATTCCATGATAAATCATCCGTTCCCATTCGGGGTGGGGGTCCCTATATCACTCACACGCTCACCCCGATCAACACTCAATCGGAAGTGAAGTTCAGTTCACTGAATTTCAGCTCGTGGAGTGAACTTCGCTGTCATGTGTTATCACAATCATTATCATATGAAGAGTAGTATTGGAAGCAGTGATGGAACACTGATGATCGGATAATTCATAAGCATTTCGATAAGGACTCTCATTCATTCGCAAAATATCTTGTAATAAGATTTTCTCGTTACGGATTGAAATTCCCCTAAATAGATGGTCACACTCTTGAATTTACGATAAGAGGGACAGGAAGAGACATCTAGAGGCGGCTGAAAGGCCCACGACTAGATGAGAAGAGCCACAGACCAATGAAAGGCTGAAGGCATAACGGTTTTGGGTGGAACCGCGACCTCTGGAAGTGTGGAAGACGTTAATAGACTTTCGCTAATTTAAAATTCGCCCAGCTTGTGTTAGGGGAAATGGACCGACGTACGGGCTGTCCAACTGGGCGATTCTAAAAGCTGTGTCAGAGTAGACTATGGACTAACGGCCAGGTGAGAAGACTGGTACCCCCGTGATCCCGTCGGGTTGATTGGTGGGGATAAGGTAACGGATGACCTCTCGTCGCCGAGATATCCAGACTAGGGGGACAAGGCCTTAGTAAGATTCCGAGTGAGTCGAATGCGAGCGCTTGAACCAAGAGGTTGGAAAAATCTCTCGGTGTGCTGGATTTGAGGAATGGTTGGAAAAGCCATGATAAGGAGTTTCGGACTCCCCGTAACCTCGGTGAATAACCGTTGGCGGCGAGCATAGGGGGATGCCTCTGCATTCCGGAAGCGTATGGGCCCGTGGGCCTGGAGTAGAGTAATCCTTCTGTCGGCCCGACCATGCGCCGATCGTTTAGTACTACCCGGAGGCAGTGACGCGCGATGACCGAAGCAGTAACTGGTGGTTAAGGGTATGAGTGGTCATAGCGTGGATAACGTAGTTCCACCCTGGTCAGATCAGCGTCTCAACATCCCAGGCTCTGAGGAGTCCCGGCTGATTCTCATCTAATTCTGAAAACTCTCCCGAGTCAAAATACTCGGGAGAAGAACGAATACTGGAAAAGTCGAAAGACTCTCCGGAAGAGGTATGAATTTAGTTCATGATGGTAATTATGCTGCAAGGCATAATACACGGCTTGAAAAAGCTCGGGAGGATGTGAAAGAAATACTCCTGGTGGACCTCGCCCACTCTACCGTGTCACACTGATGCTAGCTTGGCAATTTATTATCCAGCCACAAAAGTCCTCTGAGTAGACGGGTTTGCCTCAGAGGGCGGTTTTCGTCGAACCTACCGGAAAGGTTTGGCTGGCGTCCAACATACGAGTGGTAGAGAAGGCTTAAAAAGTAGTTTAGATCTTTCCTGGGTGAACAACCCGGGAAAATATCCTTACAATCTTGTGACTGATCTGCATTGGTTTATGGGCCAATTATGAAATTTTAAAATCTGAACAACATCGTGAGAGGAGAACTGCTTGACACCATTACATCAGTCGTCATGACCAGACATCATATATTATTAGAGCATTGATAATTTGCAAAGATGGAAGAAATTCTGTGAAAAGCTGAGAGAAGATAACGAAAGTGAATGATGACCAGCTAGAACCGTTGACTATTAATGAAATTCAATGATTGTACTCAGTTCTGCCATACTGCCTCAATGAGAATGAGGTTGTTACGAAACGATTGATTCATGTACCATCTGACCTTCCACCGATGGATGGGTTCATCACTCGAATGCGCAAAAACGTCAGAGATCTATGTTCCAAGTTCAAACCTACCCAAATATCGAAATGGTATCCCTGCGAGAAATGATCTCAGACTTTAGGAATAATTATTGATTTGAAATGGAGAGAATTGCTGCACAGATGGGTGAACAAGAAAAAAAGATGAAGAAAATTAGTTTTCAACTAGAATCACGAGTTCATTTGTTTTTGCATTGAGATTTTGCATATCAATCTACTCGTCGAGATCGATGGGAAGAGATTGCTCGAGATAATCGTTTCAAACATCGAATAAGTTCATATGAAAAAATATTGAACCCCTGTATTATCAAAACAATGTAGACAAACTGTTTTTGAAACACATTTCACATAGTTCGAAGTAATTTTTGTTATATGTCAGTCTCGTTTTCGGGATTACAATCCTGATAATGATGGGCAGTAACGCTGTTTATGCAGGGTGAGTCACAAGTTTAGAGAGCAATTCGAAAAAAGCGCCATGAGAGCCTGGTGGCGCGTCCGCGGATCTGTCGTTTTCATAAAGTTTTTTGTGCTCGAATGAGACATATAATAGAAAGCAATTTTATTTACTCAAAATAGATTCATTCACAGAATCAATATTTGTAGAAAAAATTCTGTCACTCGGAGATCTAACCCTTAATTTCGAATTTTTATAATAGTCTCAATTCAATTGTTCTGACCTATCATCGTTGACACAAACCCTCACGATAATTCTAAATGACGATATCAAGACATAAAATTAGTTTTTGCTTCCGAATGGAAGCTTTGTAATCGGTCATTTTTTCGATTTTCTAATTTTGCCTGGAAATGATGTAGAATGGTCTGAAACGTCAAAATACAAAGGTTAAGGACCATGTGTGTATGTCTGTCCGCCTGTGTCTGCAAATTTTCGGAAAATTTTTATAAATCACGACAAATAAAGGACTAAAGTTGAAGCTAAAAATCTGAAATTTTGTCACATAATTGGTAACACTTTGGAGCATTTCTGGGCGCAGTTTCAGCTCAATCGGCCGGGTAGTTTCCGAGATACAGCAATTTCTCAAAAATCGTTTTTCCTCAATATCTCGAAAACTACGCAACTGAATTGAATTTTTTTACCTCAAAATTTTCCTTGCGATAATATCTATCGAATAAAATCATAATTTTCCGTCAGACGTCTAGAGTTCAAATGAGTGTTAAACATACTATTCTTATAGTGTTCTAAAAGTTATATAAGACAAAAACTTGACTTCACTCAACTTAACTAATAACAAAACTCGTTGACAAAAATTTTGGCAACATACGCAGTCATCTATGCGCCCGGGCATACATACAAATCGATATTTAACATATTTACAAATCATATAAATAAAGTCACTAATTATTTCATAATAATTATGAAAATGGGTCACTTGAGAAGGAATTTCCCTCATATAGATAATGAAACAAAATAAATCATAATCAACTTCAGACTTGTCCAAAACCGCACAATATTCATTATATTAAATTTCCACGCAACGGTGCATTTTCTTTAAAATGGAGATGAGAATGGAGTATGCATACTTTTTACCGGAAATTGAAGAAAACACTCCCCAAAAGTGAGTAATGATTCATTCCAAAGTATCAAAATAACAGAGAGATAAGACACCGAGTCTTATGTATAAAATAATTTTTCGAGTTATAGGACATTATAAAACATAGGAAGATCTTGAAAAGGGAAATGGATACAGTGGTCAAAAGGGTCAAAATCTGTTATTTAACAATCATGAAGAATTTTTGTGAGATTTGATCCTATTCAAACGAAAGATTATTATTTGAAAAAATACTTGTAGAAAAAATTAATGATAATAAATTTATTTTTCACATACTTTAGAATTCACCTGATGATTTATCAATGATGAATCATACTTTCCTTCTGAAAATTCGAATGCATTCTCCTTCGTTACATTCAGCGACTTACGTGGTTTGAATATATTACTTTATATATGAGAGTTTTTATTATTTAATATATATGTATATTTTCTTTCTCTCGCAGTTTATCAGGAATCATGTTCTATCTTATCGGACGACAAGAAATCAACGGCACTTCATTTTTTTGTTTTCTTCTCTTCAATGGGTTATATGGAACGAGATTGAGATTGTCCAAAATTTCAATTTATGATCCCCACCTTATTACTTCATTCATCAATCGCTTTCCTATGCATCAAGTTAGTTTCATAAATTTGATTTTTGAAATTTACAAGACAATTCTCGTTAATTATAATATTATTCAATAAATAGCTAGTATTCATCCAGAATGCTGTACCACGTAAATTAAACAGAGTGAGCTTAACGGATTCAATATTTGCTGAAGACGATCTGTGTGAGTTTGAGTGGGAGTTACATGCACGTCAGCAAATTAGTCTTTATGGGCAAATAAAAATACAGTCTAAGGAAGTAATTGAGTCGGAATAGGATAAAAATCATCAAGATATTTCAATTATTAGGAGTCCTCAATATAAATTTAATTACTAAAATCATCATGATGTAAGCCAATTGATGAAAAGAAAATATT